TTTAAAAACTCCCAGCCTGGTTCATTACTCAAAACTGCAATCATGGGTAAGACTGCCGACCTGACTGCTGTCCAGAAGGCCATCATTGACACCCTCAAGCAAGAGGGTAAGACACAGAAAGAAATTTCTGAACAAATAGGCTGTTCGCAGCATGTTGTACCAAGGAACCTCAGTGGGGAAGTCTGTGGGAAGGAAAAAGTGTGGCAGAAAACGCTGCACAACGAGAAGAGGTGACCGGACCCTGAGGAAGATTGTGGAGAAGGGCCGATTCCAGACCTTGGGGGACCTGCGGAAGCAGTGGACTGAGTCTGGAGAAGAAACATCCAGAGCCACCGTGCAAAGGCGTGTGCAGGAAATGGGCTACATAATCGGCGCGCCGCCCCCTCCAGACGGGGTTTTGACGCCCCCTCTGGTGCTGCGCTCCTATGCGTTGCATGCGCTGCATACCCACTTTTTGCGCCACTGAAGACAGGGGTGTCCAAAGTCGGTCCTCGAGCGCCGGCATCCTGCATGTTTTAGTTCTCTCCCTAGTGGGAGTAACAAACTCCTCAGCAAGTCAGTGTTCTGCTTAGGCCTTATGATGAGCCATCATTTGATGCAGGTGTGTTAAACCAGGGAGAGAACTAAAACATGCAGGATGTCGGCGCTCGAGGACCGACTTTGGACACCCTTGGTGTAAGAAAATGGATGGATATATAGAGAGAGAGATATAGATCTATATCTGAAATAATTTCTGACAATGCGCATCGGTTTAGTCAATAGCAATGGTTTTAGTATTTATTTATTTATTAAATTTAAGTTAGTTTTGTGTATTATACTTTTACCTCCATTTATTTATGTACAAGTCCCATCTGGTTATATATAGTGGCCACGACTTATTTCTTGAGAACGACTTAATTATAACAAGTCGTGGCCACCGGAGCCCGTAGATAATAATGATTATTTAATCATGTAAAAATTAAAGTGACCAAAGTTCTTCTTTCCTCTTCGTGTTGCGAATATTCTCCATTTTTCTACCAACGAGTTCAGCGAAGTGGTGGCTTCGCTCTAAAAACACCACTTCCCAAAATGCTTCGCGCGCCAAGCGCGTAGGTGTTTCCGGTGTCTCGTAACATTTTACTTCCTTCCACACAGACCGACACGAACAAACCGAAAAAGAAGACGTCGCTAACGTTAAGTATTGTCGCCAAAAACCGCCTTCCGAGCTTAGTTTTTGTTGTATTTTCGTCGGGTAAAACGTGGCATGTGGTCCTCGGTGTCCCAAGACTGAGAATTATCAGAGAACCGCAGACTGTATCGTGTAGGCCTCCGAGGGAAGAAAGTTTAGAGTCGGGCCTGTAAACAACATGTCCTCCGCCTCGCAGCCTTCCTCCAGACGGCAGTGGTGCTACCTCTGCGATCTGCCCAAGATGCCGTGGGCCATGCTGTGGGAGTTCAGCGAAGCGGTGTGCCGGGGATGTGTCAACTACGACGGCGCGGACCGGATTGAGCTCCTGATCGAAACGGCGCGGCAGCTGAAGAGCACGCACGGGGTGTTAGACGGCAGGTCTCCCGGACCCCAGCAGAGCAAACCCGGTTCGGTGGGGACCGTCGAAACGGGGCGGCAGCATAGTGAGCGCGTAGACAGGGGGAGGGGGGAATATGGGGTGTCTTCCCGGCTCCCCAACGGCTTGCACCGAGCTGAGGACGTGGCTTTATCGGAGGGAAGCCGCCAGAGCCCGAACACCCGCCGGGTTGTGACCGGTGCAGTGCCCGGGCTCCACAGCACCATCTCTCACGCCTTGATAGCTCAGGGGTTGGTGGCGGCTCCTCACGGTCTTTTAGCCCCATTATCGGGCTCCCGAACTGCCAGCACACCCATCGCGGTCTCAGCCGGGCCCATCATGAGTGAGGGTGGCAGAAGGCAGGCGGTGTCTCTGGGAGTGGGCGCCAGCACCTCTGCCCTTGTGGGTATAGATCCAGCAGTGTGGAGGAACAATGAGGTGATGGCCGAATTGAACGAAGTGGCCAGAAACCGGGTGGAAGGCTGGCCGAACCGACCCAAAGCGGTGCGAGACGTGCTGGTGGCCCTGAGCAACTCCATCCCCTTCAACGTCCGCTTCAGGAAAGACCACAACCTCCAGGGCCGCGTCCTGGCTTTCGACGCCAGCACAACTCCAGAGTTTGAGCTGAAGATCTTCATTGAGTATCCCGTGGGCTCCGGGATCATCTACTCAGGGATCCCGGACCTGGTCCGGCAGATGTTCCGGGATTCGGCGAAAGATGCAGGCAAAGCTGTGAATTCCGGCCTGCGATACGTGGAGTACGAGAAGCGGCAGGGTACCGGGGACTGGCGTGGGCTGTCCGAGCTCCTGAACGACGGCGTGAGGATGTTCAAGGAGCCACCCATTCCAGAGGTCCTGCCCCAGCCAGACCCGGTGCTGTCATTGGCAGCGACAGGCCGCCCGGGTCCGGCGAAGAGCACGACCAGACGCCGCAAAGCTTCTCCTGGCTCGGAAAACGGCGAGAGCGACGGGAGACCCGACCACTCGGCCAGGGAGTCCTGGGCCCGGAGCGCCTACACGGAGCCTCTGCCCGGCATGGCGGCACCTCAAGAAGGGCCGCCGCGTCTCCACAGCCAGCCGTCGCCCATCTCGGCCCTGATGGGCGTCACAGACAGCCTGAGCTCCAGCCAGATGCCCAGAGACAGCCCAGGCATGTCCACAGCCCACTCCTCGGCAGCAGGTCGCTCCACCAGCAGTAGCCCGTCCACCGCCTCCACCTCGGCCTCCCAGGCAGCCATGGGCCAGGGCATGAGTGCGGTGGGGCCGAGCGGCAACACCAACACTGGGGAGAGCACGAGCAGCACGCAGGGCACCCTGCTCTGCTGCACGCTCTGCAGAGAGCGCCTGGAGGACACACACTTTGTCCAGTGTCCCTCCGTCCCTCACCACAAGTTCTGCTTCCCCTGCACCCGAGCGTTCATCCGCAGCCAGGGCCAGGGAGGGGAGGTGTACTGCCCGAGCGGGGAGCGCTGCCCCCTGGCCGGATCCAACGTGCCTTGGGCCTTCATGCAGGGCGAGATCTCCACCATCCTGGCCGGAGATGGAGACGTGACGGTAAAGAAGGAGGAGTGACCCCCCGCTGACCTCCCGACGTCTCCGACCTGTCATGGTGAATGGTAAGATGGACAGGAAACCCTGTGTCACATCAGTCTGGTCTCAAACCACTAAGTTATGAGGTTGAAGCCAGTTAGGGATGGGAAGCTTAGATACTTAGACAAAAACTAAAAATTAAATATAACATACCTAATTAGATTTTGTTTGAGCCTGAAATGCAAAAATTATGACTTAATGGTTATTTTTTATAAAAATATTAGTGGGGTTAATCAAATTTAATCAGATTAATCACGATTTATTACTATTCTTAACTTTGTAAGCTTGAAAAATAAATGTGCAAGCTGTTGTGGTATCTGCAGGAATGGCGCCCTGGGCATCTGCCTCCTTCTGCCGCACTCCAATCAATTAAAATGCAAGAAATTAATCACAGCACAAACTAGGCTATGTATTTTCCCAGTAATCAACAGCAACTAAGGGAAACTTACTCCACTACACATGCATACAAGTACATTTTGGGGAAAACTGACAGATGAGATATATTTTATGTTCTAGTTTTTGGGTCCCACGCCCCCATTTCTCATGCCTCCCTGGGAAAATGCCCATGAAGCCAATATAAAAGACTGTGAGCAGGTTTCCAAAGAATTGAAAGAAAATGCTTTGTGTCAAACCAAACCTGGAAGATTCTCAGTCTTCCAGGTTTTCTCATATTCAAGGAAAAAAACAAAAAACTTTTGACATTAAAAACACAAAAAACACGTTCCCTTCAATTACACTAATATACACAGCAAATATGGACGATTATTTTGCTTTTAACTTTAAAACGAAACATAAAAAAGTGTTCATGTTTGCTCTGTGACAAAAACTGGATAGCAACAGAAACTCACATCCTACTCTTGAAAAACATATTCATTTGTAATATGCTTTTTTTCGGACACCAGAGTCATAAAAGGGTTATTTGAAGTACTTGAGTCGACTGCACACAGTAACCGCTTTTAATCATATTTTAAAATGTATTATTTATTGACACGCTCATTGAATAAATGGAGAAAGTAGTAAAAACTAACAGTCCTTACAATATGGACAGTTTTGAGGCTTTAAACATCAATAATTAGAATTTATCATGACATTGATAAATCATTTATACATTTACTATAAATGATAAGCAATAGAATGAATGCCCGTCCCTACTTTACATATAATAACGCATGCAAAAATAAAATAATTGAAAGTGATGAACTGCTCGTCATTACGAGAATTATATTGAAGTTGGACATTTCACACTCTGACAGTTTTAACAGAGCATTTATCAGAACCTATAAATGGTCCAAACATTTAGTCAAAAACAAATATGTTCAATTTTTCCAGTTTTAAAAATTAAAATAGATGGCGTCCAGTAGATGGCGTTGTAGAGGAAGACTGTTTTCTTTCAGCACCATCTTCCCTGATTGTTTCATTGGAAGTTTTTTTTTTCTTTTTCTTTTTTTTCCATTTTTGAACAGCATCCAGATATCAGGAATACCACTGTCTCTTCCTGACTTTGTGTAAACTTCCACATTGAAAACATCCTGTAGAGCAATGCTGCGGTGCATTCAAAGACCAGGTAGAAAACGGCTTTCTGAGCGCCTCATGCAGTCCAGCCGCTGAACAGTCGCTCCATCCTTAAAGACAGAGCGGTTTTCACTTCTGGAATCATTAAAAAAAAAGAAAATGGCTTAAACCAAGGAATTAATTGATTTTATAGATTTCAGTGGCATTTAGTTTTGATTTTAAGCATCACAAATTAAAATGTTATCACTGATTTGTTTGGACACTTGGAGAAATATGCATCCATTCAAATATAAAAATGGTTCATGACTAGTTTTTACTTTTATCATTTATTCAGAGTTGGATCTGCCACAATCGCAAATTTTGCTGGAAGGTAAATTGTCCCTGTAATTATTGCGATAAGCGATATTGTTTTTGCAAAAAATATACTGATGACATAATAATGCAAATTTGCCCTGACAAAAACCAATAACTTTTAACTCTATAAAAAAACATGTAACGGTAGAACTGGAAGATATTTTATATTTCCAAAGTAAAACACAAAAAGATGAATAAAACAGAAATGAGAAGCACACAATCAAAACTGTAAACAATATGGATTATAAAGTGTCTGTAAACAAATTTCTCTTCAAAAAATATTAATCTGATTGTAAATTGAATTAATTTTAATTCACTGATGTTTCTTGTCCAATCATTTAAATGTTCTATCAATACCTTTGTCTACTGTCTCCACTGCTTCAGTTAAACTACCCACAATCCTGCATCATTGTCACCGGTCACGTTATTCACTCACCCTAAAGAAACAAACTGCAACAATATGGAAATATCAGCTGTTATAGTGTGCATTCATAATAAAAACCAAATTATTAGTTTGTTGTGGTTTCACTTTTTATTTTTCTCTTTTTGCAGGTTTAGAGGCCGACTTGTTGACTTTTGTTTTATTTACTCGTTTCCCTCCTCTACTCAAATCTCCTTTTAAACCTTCCCACTTCCACCATTTTGTCTCGTTTTTTCCCCCTCTCTATTTGAAATAAATCCAAAAAAATTCTAAGAAAGTTTTATATACTGCTCAAAAAAATAAAGGGAACATTTCACTTTAATTTTGTGTGTGGCTCCAAATCCAGGCCTCCATTGGTTAATAAATTTGATTTCCATTGATTATTTTTGTGTGGTTTTGCTGTCAGCACATTCAACTTTGTACAGACCAAAGTATTCAATGAGAATATTTCATTCATTCAGATCTAGGATGTGTTATTTGAGTATTCCCTTTATTTTTTTGAGCAGTGTATTTATGCATCAAGTGGAGCGTCATGGCAAAAGCCGTAAGGCGCCGCTTGTGTAAGTCTGTCTGTTGGGCCTCACCTTCACATTCGGGCATTACAGAACTCCACACATTGAAAACCAAAACCATAAAAACTAATTTATCCATCCATTCCTTCGTCTGTCTATAACCTTTCTTCTTCCGCTGTCTCCGTCTATGCAGGCTTTCATTTGGCTTTGTTTTATAAGAATGGCTGCCAGGAATTCATAGTGAAATTAAGTATTTGTACAATAGTAGCATGGAGAACTCTGCCTCTACTGAAACCAACCTGTGTGAAACTAAACCCGTTTTATTTTCTTTATATTAAGTTTTCCATCTATTGTCCTTTTTTCTCCAGGGGATCAAACACTTTGAAAGCACTTCCCTTTTTATCTCGAGCAGAGGTCCACTTCGGCTGCATTTCATCAAGCGTGCCTTCATAAGCAGAGAAAGTCCGAAGCTCCAGGAGGACAAACTACACCAGGATCAGTTAGCAAAGACAAGAAAAGTCACCAGTGAGGAAGAGGCGGAGGCTCAGATCAGCCGTTCTTCCTCGCTACATGTGGCTCTAACAGCCCAGGACAGAAAGCACACACGTTTGTCTGACAATCTGATTTTTGTTTTTTTTTTTTTTTTTTTTTTTTTTTCCCTTCTTGGTTTGTTCTAAATGTTGCATTGTGTATTAAGCCGATGCAGGACAGCGTTATTGATTGATGACTTGGCTAAAGTAATGCACTTCTTTAGAGAGAAAAAAAGGAAAAAAAAAATCGAATGTTGAACACAAAACCCCATTTGGTCCTTAAAGCCAAGGAGTGCAAAAAAAATGTAATCCCACATTATGTCTCGTAGGTATTCTTCTGTTGTATGTTTCAAATGTGAACTTCCTTTCAATATGGCTATGTAATTTCTATTTTTGATACAATACAAATTTCTATGTATTTGTTTATAGTGATAAGAAGACCAAAGATGGCTTCATGCTCAGTGTAATTTTATTGTAGCTGTGTATGCTGTATTCACTGATAACCTTTGGCATCAGTCACTAATTAGTCCATCTATCACAGATGTATGCTTGTTTTGTCTATTTACTTTTTGAATTCTATGTATGGTAAGATAATTAGCATCACATCGAATGGTTAACCCACACTTATGTGATCTGAACAGGTCAATTCTACAATAAAGGACTAAATAGTCACAGCTGCTTTACTCCTTTGCTTCTGATTTCAAAGGATTAAGACTTCAGGTGGATTTGTGGGGAAACTTTATTTAAGTGCTGACAAGAAACATGAAAATCTCCACACCAGACATTAAAAAACTACTAGTGGCACTGTAAACATGCACTCAGTTCAAATATAGACATTTCAGCCATGTTTAATACATTCTGACTTGCAAGGAAAAAGTGATTGGAAACTTTAAACCTGATTAAGTACAAATGTGTATATATATCCTGGATGCAAAAATGATCAGCTAGTTCCTATGTGAAATGCTTGTAAATGACAAAACCCTACACTTTAGCTGGAGTGTGAATGCGTTTTCTACGGAAGCTCATTCCTGCCGTGAAAGAAATGTAAAAGCCCAACAGGAAGTCAAGAGAAGTCAGAATTTTGACTTTCAACTTCATAATTATGAGTCAAAGTTAGAATTTCAACTTTCAAAATAAGATGTTCAGATTATGAGATCGATAGTCATGCTGTTTCTCTACAGAGGCTTACTCTACTATCTCATAATTATGACTTTATATCTCAGAATTGTGTTTATATACCTCAAAATTATGACTCCGATTCTCATAATTATGAATTTGAAAGTCAAAACTATGACTTCCTGTCATTTATTTTTTATTCTTGGGCTTTGATTTTTTTCTCTTTCATGACAGAAATGAGCTTCCATAGATTTCAGATAAGGCAGTGGTATTATCCTATATTTTTATGTGCATAGATGTAGAATCTCACTCACACCATTTGTTCAATAATATAAAACATAACCATATGCAGTGGGCGGACGTGTGAACATGTCAGATGGGGCAGCCGGTGTCTCCCAGGGCCTCCTTGGCCCCTTTTAGGGTCTCTCTCTTCACACACTTCCAGTAGCCAGAGATGCCGGTCTGATGCTGCACCTGCAGTCAGGAGACGAGTTCACCGTGAACCAGAGGGAGGAGGTGAAGCTGAACATGTAGCCTCTCAACTACTTATTTTTAATTATTCTGTTCCGGTATATCCCAGAATAAAAATCCAATGCCATTTAAACATTTAAACCATAAAAGTTGCGTGCGTGTGCCCACACCCACATACACACACACACACACACAAAAAAACATTTAATATTTAATTTGGATTATGGCACATTTTCACAATGGTATCATTCCAGTAAAAGCCCTATTTTTAATTTCTCTTACAGCAAGAAACTTCACAAATATCCAAGAGCAAAATAATAAAGGATCAACCATCACCAGTTTACTCAAATATAATGGAACTCCTCATTTTACTGGGTGACAGGCCCACACAAAATAGTGTATAGATGTGAAGGGGAGAAAATCTGAAAAGTGTGGGATGTATTTATATTCAGTCCTGTAACCCATCATATCAATAAATAAAATCAAGTGCAACCAACTGACTCAGTAGAAAATAAAGTTGTGATGTTTCTGTACAAAATGCAAAATGCTACACCTGGCAGAGGACTAACAGGTTTGTATCAATTCCTTATCAAAGAGGGATGATAAAAATTTTAAATTGATCGTTACGAGGCTGTATTCTGGTGGAATAACCTTGGCAGGATTTGACCCATGTGGTTACCAATAGTCAACCCACCGGTGCTAACTTAGTGACTTTACAGAAAAAAAAAAGTTTGGTTGATGGTACCAGAAAACCGCACTAATCAGAACCGCCGATAAACATCTGCAGTATAAAAAAAAATAGAAATGAAAGTGGAAGCTCACCTTCAGACCCCGCAGCACTCTGTCCGTCATTACCCCCATGAACTCCTTGTGACTCAGGCAGTTGTCTCCGTCCACGTCGAAGAGTTTGAACACCGTGTCCAGAACGTTCTCTGACAGCTCGTGGCCCGTGGCGATCTTCACGGCTCGCTTAAACTGGGCTGTATCAAAAGAACGAGGAGGACGCTTTCATGTAATGGATGAACCGTTTAGTAGATGCACCTGCTCATCCCAACCCAACGGCGAGGCCTTACCCATCCCCACAGGACGGTTGGCCTCGGTGACCATCTTCATTGAGAAGGCGAAGTCCTCCAGGTTGTTGGTGAACAGGCAGAAGGCTTTGAACTCCTCGAATGTGATGCTCTGGAAGGGGAAACGCGCCTGTTGACTGTTGATCCACGCGAGTCTCGTCCTGACGGAGGACGAAGTTTCCGTACCTGACCGGCTGGGATCTTCTTTCTCATGTTCTCCCAGTAGATCTCGTTGTCTTCTTCGTTGGTGTAGTGCAGCAGCCACTCGGCGAAGTCTTCCCTTCTCATGGTGTCCATGCCTCTGGAGAACTGCAGGAACTCCATCTCCTGGATCTCAGCCTGCAGGTCCTCCATGAATCTGTACGACAGAGATTGTTTACAGGAGCTGGGACGGGCCGAGACCCCGAGGTCCAACTGGAGGGGAACCCTACCGTAGCTCCAAACATGCAACGGGTTCTGCTATGCAAGTTAAGGATTTTTAGAAAAATTGTGTTTAGCAGAATATTAGCAGAATATTGACAAAGTTTTGCACAAATTTGTAAGGGGAACAAAGCTGGTGATAGTGAAAAAACAAAACAAAAACAACAACCAACCAAAACCCAGGAATCTTTCAGATTTTATGTATCAGAACATAACAAAAAATTTTCTAGTGATCTTCATGTAATCAAGAATCCGTCCCTCTGGGATTTTGCCATTGTTTTGTGAGTTTTTGAACTCAAGATCACTTACTTTGTGGCGCAACTTTAGAAATAATTGCAAGGAGTTTTGTGCCATCATCATCTCCATCCAAAATGTTGGTGACTTGACGAGATCCTGGTTCTCCTACCTGTGGAACTCCTGGTACTTCAGCTTGTTTTCTCCTCGCTTTCCAAAGAAGTACGCCTGAAGTGACGTGTTTACAGCCGCCCCTTCCTCTGCCGCTTTCTGGAATCACCCACGAATTGTCCTGTTACTATAGAAACTGATAACGATGCACGAGAAAAGCTAATAAGATGTGCACACACACCTCTGCCACGTCCTTCGGAGGTTTCAGTTTACTTTTGCCGATGATGTTCTTGAGCTTCGGCAGAAAATGAAAACATTGTCTTTTCATTCATTCAATTCAATTCAGTTTTGTCATGAACTCGAAACCATAGAAACCTCATGTGTTCACACACACTCACATTTCATCCAGCTCATTACCAACATCCACTGAACACAGAATTTTGTATTTGCTAAATCTCTCTAGCAAGACTTTTTCTCGCAAAAGTATTCACACCCCTCGGACTTTTAACATTTTTGCCACACAGAACCCACAAATGTCAATTATATTGATACTGGCATAATAATACAAGTTTGCTCTCTCAAATACCAATAAAATTTACTTTATTTAGGAACACGTAACACTGGAACTGGAAATTATGTTGAATATCCAAAATAAAACACAAGCAAAAACAATAAGTAAAAGGCAAATAAAAACCACACAGAGAACCAGAACCATAAACAGAATGAATTATGAAGTTTCTAAACAAAATTTCCCTCCTTCAGATTTCTTGAACTGTGACTCTATGTTGAAAACCACGCGTCGTTTTTCTTCCACTACAGAGTTAAATGCCACGTTAGCAGTATTTCTATTACAAATGTGCGCAAAACTTTGTCGATATTCCACTAGAGTCAAAAAGAAAACGCAATTTCGCAATTGCGGTGTTTCCATTAAATAAGAAACGTGATTAAAAATCACACGTGAACACGTTTGTTCACGCGATGAGTCCTTAATAAATGCCGTCATCCTCCAACTATTCCCAGTTGTCTTCGTCTTTTTGCCAGTAGTAGCAATCCCACGAGCTGTGTGATGGGAAAAAGTTTCCATCGCAGTTTTACCAAAGGCACTAATTTTAAAACAGCTCAAAAAACCCTTTTTTTTGGAAAAACTTTGCTTTTTTTTTTTTTTTTCTTTAAATGAGCATGTTTCTATTAAGCAAATTTATTTTCTAATTCCAATTTAGAAAATGTATTGAAACTTATAGTCATATTATAGACCCACATTGTGAAAAAGTTCATGGAATGTGAATACTTTTGTAAGGCACTAGATTTCTCCCTCTACTCGGGGAGCTAATATGAGCTCTACGTCCTTCTTTCCACTCTCAGAATCAACAAAACACAGATTCATTGCATTTAACTAAAAAACAACAAAAAAAAGTCAAGGCAAAAGCAAAAAGTAGTGGTAAAAAGCAGGACCACCATCAAAATCCATGCACTGCTGCTTCTTGCTGGATGTTTTGTTCTTTCTGCGCCATGTCGGAACATGACACACAGGTTGCAACACAGGCCAACATGCCTCCCAATGAGACAAAAGGTAGCTGAGGCCTAAGCTGAGCGGCAGACGGGAGAAGTCTGCTCGGAACCAAAAACTCGCCAGGTGGCTTCAAACAAATAAAACCGAAAAGCTTTCTGCTTCAAACACAAGGCAGATAAAGGACAGTCGAAGCGACAGGAATGCAGCTCTGCCTCACCTTCACATGGAGCCCGGTCCATACTTACAGCTGCGGCAGCATCAGCAGAGATCTCGGCAGCATTAAAGGGGCAATATTTTCACATTTGAGTGCACACAAAGATTTGAAATATTGACACACTGATATTGTTGCGTAAAGTAATTACAGAGTTCGTCATCTAAAAAAAAAAAAAGTCTTATATTTGATCTTTTCTTTTACCAAGCAAAGTCTTACCTTAAGAAACTCTTTCTTGTCCACTTGCTCGTTGCCGTCCACGTCCAGCATTTGGAAAGCTATGTGAAACCCGGTCCGCGGCTCTGCAAGAGAGACAATCATCTCGTTCAGGAATTGATTACCTACGACAGCATATTGGGACCACTGTGGGTAGAACATAGAGAGGAGCAAATATCCTCTGAAGAAAAAAACCCTCCAGACGTTCTCATGAAAAAAACAAAGACATTCCTGAGCTCCAAGAGTAAAAAGATTTGCCAGAAAAACTTTTTAAAATTTTGAAATAATACTCAGAGATTTTCTAGAAAAAAAAAAAAAACCTGGAAAGTTCAGAGTATGAAAAGTCAAAAAAAATTTGCTGGAGAAAACTTGGAAATTTTAAGATATATTTTCTAGGAAAAAAATGTTGAATTTTTGACACTCAGACATTTCCAAATTATTTTCTGGAAAATGTCAGATTGATCTAAAAATTTCTGAGTTTTTTTTTTCTTTTTCCGATTTTCAAGTTTTTTGATGAAAACTGACATTATTTGGCTAACTTCAGTTGTTATAAAAATGCTACAGATATCAAATATGGCTTTAAAGAAATTTGACTTTGTAATTTAATGTTAGGAATTGTCCATCTGTCTCTTTAAAAACTCTTGTTCTTTCTGAAACTCTGTCATCAGGAAGTCAATACATCATCGCTCCTCTACGAACCCTTTAACGTTGTCATGTGACGAAAAAAAAAATGTTTTTCAATTGCAGGTTTGCAAAATACAGTAAATAAATTTTGATACTGTCGAGAAAACCACCTCATCCAAGTGTAAAACTTTTTTTAAGCAAAGTTTTTTTTGTTTTTTTTTTTAAACTGGAGTGCTCCCATTAAGAGAATGTATGTCCCAAAGTCCAATACGCACAATTATAAGGTCAATGGAAGCAAAGCTGCTGATAGATTGTCCAGCTTCAAATAAAACCACAAGATCATGAACACAGCAAAGTCAACTTACTGGTCATGATGGTCAGCAGGAAGAGATACTCTGTGTAGGATATTAAACCTGCAAGGCACACACACAAATACACTTTACAGTCTTTAGACAAACAGAATCTAGCCGACAGAAAAAAAAAGAAAAAAAAAAGTGAACATCACCATAGAAACGTGGATATGAACAGCTCAGGCCACAGAGCAGAAACATTCAGATGTGCAGCAGAAGGCCGGAGAGCTCACCGTTGTCTCCTAGGTTTCTGAACAGATCGCTGCCGGGACGAGCTTTTGCGGCAGCCGCCAACATCTTGTTCACGTCCTGCCAAGAGCGCAGCAGGAAACAGATACCGTCACCACAAAACCCCCAGCACTGTGCCCTGCATGTACAGTTTTCACACAGTGAAGCTGTAAACATACCTCTGTTGTTAAGATTCTCTTTTGGAGCTTTCCTAAAAAAAAAAAAAAAAAAAAAAAAAACAGACCAAACAGAGAATTGATGCCAAGCAAAAAAATATTGCTTTTGACATGTTGATGTTAGAAGTGTTTCTTACACTGCAGATGCATCTTTTTCTACAAATGATACGCCGAATGTTTATTTTCTTATTTTAAAAAAAGAAATGTTATGATCTGCTTTTCATCTTTTAGTACATTTCTAATTTGTATAAAAAGGCTAAAGTGGGCAAATGAAAATTCTGCAGATGTTCAAATTTTTTAAAATCCAATTAATGGATTAATCATAAGAATAATTGATAGATTAATAGATAGCTAAAATAATCATTAGAATATAATGTGAAAACACGCATGATAATGTGATAATACTCTATAGATTAAGAATGATTTTATTTGGGGGGGTTTTAAAGCCTAGTTGAACAATGGTAACAATATTTATGATCACTGATTATGAAGCTAATTTATTTGGTTTGTGTAAAGTACGTCAGCATGGAAATCCCATCTGCTCTCCAATAAATACTGTTTGTTTTTCAAACGCTACCAGCAAACTACATTTTGAAAGAGTAATTATCCTGAAAGAGATTAAAACAGATTAAATAGAGTTTTGGATTACAGAGAAAACTGAACGTAACTCTTATGTTATTTACTGGAGCAAACAGGACAATAATTTAAATAGGGTAGGATTGTTGTTACTCAGGTTAAGTGGTTTGAAGTGCTGTTTGCGAGCACATAGGGAGTAGGGATATTACAAGGTGTGTGTGTCTGTGGGTGTGTGTAGTAAATGTGTGCTGCTTACGATCTACTTGTTCCAGCATGACGGAGAACAGGAAGTCCCTCGGGGTCATGTAGGGCTCCATATCGTACATCACTGAGGCAAACTGGATGAAACGAATCTTTCTGGCCGACAGCTGAGGAGCTGCAGGTTCCTGCAACTGAACAAAGGGGCAAAATGATCTGAAAGTTTCTGTCATACTGATCTAAACACTAAACATTTCCTCTGTGGCACCAACCAGGCACACAGTTTTTACCTAAACGATAAAGAAACATCTAGCTATGAGTAAATTTAAGATAAAGTTTGTTCCATTTTAAACTTCATTTTAAACTTACACTTACCCATAAACTCTACAAATGAAGACAACTTTGTTTTTTACAATCTATGTACTAAACGCCCTCTAAGCGCCACTAGAGGGCGCTAGGTAACATAACTTAGTATTTACGCCTTCTTAAAAAGTAATGTCTACTTCTTTTTCGCAGTTTGTGGTAATCTTTCAGACCGGAAAACGAATAAAGCGGTGAAGTATTTTCTATCAAAATAAATCTCCACGGGATGTGTACTCACTTTTTCTTCCTCTGCAAGAACAGTGAAGGGTAAAGTCCTGACGTTAGCATGGTGATAGTAGTAATAACAGAGACCCCCGGTTCCAACGACAGAGCCCAAAACACCGGAACCAATAGCACGGAATGCTGTAGAACTCTTCAGAACCCGAGAGCTCCTGGCCACATTCCTAAAGACGGCGGTGAACTTTCCCCAGCTGGCCATTTTCAGGAAGCTCGCTGGCTGCCTTGTTGCGTAAACACGACGGCTTCCGTAGCTGCTCTGTGAGTTAGCGACCCAGCCACGGAACGCCCATTTTGGCGTCACCAAAGTAAACAACTTGCATGTTGTACACCAGAAAGTTAAGTTCTTTGTTTTTTTAGGGGTAGTTCTCATTGTAGCTTATGACTCAGTACATGTTTCTTTTTTTTTAGCTAAATAAGGCTCCAGTGCTTGTTTATGGTGATTAGCTCTAATGTTATGTTACAAAAGTTTAGTCCAGTCCCAAAAAAAAAGTCAGAATATTATTGAAAAATCATTTTATTTAGGAACTTTAAAACTGCATGAATATAGTGAATGATTACACACGGATGGATGTTGAAAGCCTTTATTTCTCTTAATTATGATGCTGTGTGAACCATTTTACCAATATGACTGCTGTGTGAAAAATGACCCCTGTCCTTGTCATGTCTGCTTTGACAGCACATGAAGTCCTTATTTTGAAAATTCACTCACGCAGTTCAAAGACGTTCTTGAAGTTTCGGTTGTGTAGAGCAGAACTGCCAAGGAACTTGTAGGCAATCAGCTTCATCTCGTGGGGTGACTGAAACAATGGACAGGATAGCAAAAAGACAAGCAAACAAGAACATGATAGTTTTCACATGAAAAAAAAAACCCTATACTTAGTCTTGAACTTTTTTTATTTGCTCATTACAGAAGGTGACCTGAAATTAAGATGCAACCTGACTACAAGTCAGTCTGTGTTCAGACTTAATAAATGTCTAAAATCAATTCTAGATGAACGTTTAACCCCAATATCTATTAAATTAAACCTAGATGTCTACAAAGCACTTTGATGTTGTTGATTTTCAACAAGAAACTCTAACTTTGTTATGTTGTACATTTGGCCTTTCAAACTGCATCAAAGTGAGCCTTGCTTCAAGAGATAACAAGAAGGCTTGAAGCTGCTGTTTTTGTCATAAGCTTTCAACTTATATCTGTCATGGAACAGGATTGGTTTGGAGATGATTCGTGTCATTTACGATTTCACACAGGCTGTTACTCATTCTTAATGGTATGCACACAAAGACTGTCATTTTAGCAAGGCTAGTCATGCTAAATGTTAACCTGAAATGCTAAAAACAGCTAATCGTTTTAATTTGGCTTTACAATGGTCAAACTCTGTTTTAGAGCACAGAGTTAGAGCAGGAAAACGGGAACACACACATTGAAAACTATTTTTCTTATATAGTTTTATGGTTTCTAAACTGTAAAGCTAAATGATCAGAATTTGTTACACCAAAAATCGGAGATGGGACATTGTCTGCAAAATTATGATCGGTGCAACTCTAAAACCTTTTCAAAAGCTATTCAAAACTAGTGTCCAGGATCAATTATATCACTGGAAATTATATGGAACTTATGACTACTGCTGACACTGAAAAGTGGTATTTACTTTACATTTACCAGAGGTATTGTAACATTTAAATGTTACAGCTTTTTTTTTCCAGCTCTTGTTGGGTTTGCATTTCTCACCAGTCAATATCAGTCAAAGGGTTCCAGAGATGTTGCTGCAATTGCTTGCTTTTACAGGTAGTTGTTCAATGTTTGGTTGATAAAAAATAACAAAAAAAACATTTCTTTGATGGGAACCATGGATCAAAACGATTCCATTTCTAAACGAGTCAGCAGAAGCAGATGCACTACATTGGGAAAATAAAGATGGCGAAGGGAACAGAACTGCAACACACATGAAACCTTGTTCTGCAGCATCTATCATTGTGCTGTGCGTCATCCTCCTGTCTCATATATCACAGCAGGCTCCATCTCGGTACATGGTGTCCAAGGGACCGATCTCTGTGAACTCTGCTCCGGCAGCATCGACTGTGGACTCGGAGATATACATGTGGAGAGAAAAAAAGCTGTCATTCTCCACCAAGGCTGTCACACGTTACAGTTCAGAAGACCGAAGAAGATTGAATTGGCCGAGACAGTGCTTTGAAAAATTACCCTCGCCCTTAAAACCTTTTTCACGTTTTGTCGCATCACAACCGCAAACCTCACTGTATTTTCTTCCCCCAACTCAAAGTAGTGTAGAATTGTAAAAGGGAAAGATAATTCAACATGGAGACATTTTGCAAACACAAACAAAAGCTGGCTTGGCATTTGTATTCCCAATCAGACGATACTTTCTAGAATCACCTTTTGCTGCAGCTGCAAGTCTTTAATTGTTTCTCTCTTGCAGCTTTGCACATGTAAATTCAGATTTTTTTTAAACTATTCCTCTTTGCAAAAAAAACTCAAGCTTGAGAGCATCTTCACAGATACCCAGTTAGATTCAGGTCTGGGGTTTGACTGGGTCATTTTAACAATAATGTTCTGATCTAAATCAGTCTACTGTAGTGAACCTCCTGGTCCGTCTCAAATCTGTCACCCTCTAATCGGTTTTAATGATGTTTTACTGCAAAATGGCTGTAAGGAGGAAAACATTATTTAATGATTTTATTCTTTCCATACACAAATGTTTGGATCTAAATCCAAAGATCCAATCAAAAGATTAAAAATACACATTCCCAAAACTTGGCTTAGATTGTTCAGCATTTGGGCTGCAGATGCATGTTTCTGTTCAGTGGAGGACCTGCATCACTGCTGCTGCTTCGTGGAGCCTCACTTTAGAGCATGAACCTTTATTTTTATTCACATGAATTATTTACATGGATCTCCGCATTTTGTTTCTGCGGCACAGCATGAATTCCGAATTGGTGATCTTTCGGTGGCAGCTGTACGAGAAATTTCAAATGCTGCATCCCAAAAAAATATTTGTGGGGAACCAGGAAATGTTTTACGAATAGCAGGGCGACACAGTGCCAGAACATGATGACTACAATTCCTGTTGGTTTTTGTTTCTTTTCAATATTTTGACAAAACTATTTTTAAATCAGAACACAAAAAATATGGTTTGCATTTGTATTTCACTCCCCAAAGTTTATAAAACCAGCCTCGGCTGCAGTTATAGCTCCAAGTATTATGCCGATACCAGCTTTGCCTTACTAGACCATAATGATACCAGTGCCATGTTTCATAGAGGGGGTTATATATTCCCGAAGGTGCAAAGAGTTAAGTATTTGCAATATATAGTATCCAACATTATACAAAGTTATCTGTGGAAAAGCCTGGGAACAGATAATCAATGAAAAGCTCCAGTTAAACACCCAGGAAGTGAGATTTACCTGGCTGCCATCGACATGCTCTCTGGAACTGTTTATCTGTCTATGGCTTTGAAAACCTATCATGCCTTTTACAGGCTACCCCTCATTCTGGTTACTTCGTAACCTCAAAGCAAACTGTTGGAAAACAACAGCTTACAAAAAATGAAAAATAAAATAAAAACAAAAAAAAAAACCAGCTCGAAAAAACAAAAAGACACATATGGTTTATTCTGTGTAATGTTTCAGTGGAGAGAATGTCTGAATTAGTTAATAAATGAAACATCCCCTTAATGGTGTAGCAGGTATAGACTTTGTGGTCTCGACATCAGGAGCTTGATGGGTGTGGGCATGCTGGCACGGAGGTGGTCCTGACTGTAGGGGTACTGGGCTTTTGGGTTCTGCCCTGGGGTGGGGTACAACAGGGTCTGTGGTTTGGAGAGAGTTAAGGGATTTGGGCTATTCCCAATCAGACATTGCAGGTTTAGAGACAAGGTGAACCTTCAGTGATGAGTCTTTCAGTCATCCTCTGCTGGTGGTGGCCTAACTTTGCTGGCTTGGTCCGGGTTCTATAAGGCCGCTTCCGAACTTCCTATGTGATCTCCTCCCAGATTCTTTGGGAATCTCTTGAGGGCCCCTAGTCATGGTCGCCAGACGGATGCGGGCCAATTGAGGGAGTTGGCCACAGATACACGCTTACACCATGTGGGGTGGGCTGGCACATGGGGAATGTAGTGTGCTCCTCATTTGTCTGTGCTGGTTTGACAGACACTGGAAGTCTGGAGATCACTCAGTGTGTGTGTGTGTGTACTTGTTTAGCTGTCTATAAAGGACCATTTCTGACATATTTACCAAACTTCTGAAGACTGATGGGCCTTATAGGAACCAAAGCTTGATCGCATACACTGGATCCCTTGATTTATGGTTAAGGCTAGGGTTAGGAGTGTACTGGTAAGGGTTAGGGAAACTGTCTGGGCTAGGCATAAATGCAGTTACTAAAACAAATGGAAGTCAATGCAAAGTTTTATCATGGGTAGAAATGCAAACTTGTGTGTGTGAGACAGAAAAAGGGAGAGGGAGAGAGAGAGAGAGAGAGAGAGAGAGAGAGAAATACCTGCAGGTTTATCCACATCAATTCCACATCAAGTTTGTCTCAGCAAGTTTGGAGGTTTATTTAATGTCATAGCAGCAAGTTGTATTGTAAAGTAACAAAGACATACACACTTGTAAGACCATCAATAAAGTCAACAAAGTTTGCACAATATTTCTGTCTTCAGTCATGGTTTATGCTGCCTATCTAATTCTGGCTCTCTGTTTAAACATAGTGGTAAATATCCCCCTGTGTGTTTCATAAAAGTGGTGGGAAGCAAACACTTCAAATGCACATGTTGGCGTGGCCTTAATATCCGCCACAAAACCAGGACAATCACAGCCACAGGAAAATGCTCCTAATTCTGTTAAAAAATATGTTTCGCAATGGCTGCCGGTCGCGTTTCTGGTGGATTAGAACGACCCTCCTTGTGAAGCACGGTTAGAGCAGACTGCATGACATGGCACTTATGTAAAAACCCCTAAAACAATAGCTCACAAATAAAAGCAATGGATTCTTATCCTTGTCCAAAAAAAATTACAGCAGTGTAGAGAGACACACCACAATCCTCATGTCAGCGTGTTCAAACAGTGCTGCATCTCGCATATATACTTTTGGTGATCCGTCTTTGAAAGGAAGACATTTATTTTAGAAGCCTTTTTTTTTGTTTTTTTTTGTTTTACACAGGAGAGGTGCAGGATGGGTAGGATGGGGACACGGGAAACGGCATAACAAGAGAATCTGAAAAAAAAAGAAAAAAAGAAAAAGATCTGAGCTGCTTGCTGCC